AGGAATATTTAAAATGTGAAAGCTTGTAAATAATCTAGTCCGTGATGTTGGGGCAGTCTGATTTCTACGTAGAAATGATTTTTTTTAATTCTTTACTGTGCAAACTCTGTGCTTTAAGAGTGTTAAGAAATGGCTTGCGGAGGGTAGCCCTCAATATAAGAAGGCTGTTGTGTTATTTGTTCAATAAAATTATTTGTAGACCCTGCATACAAGAGTGACATCCTCTGAGGCTGTGACACCCAGTGTCTAGATCACTACCTGGGCTCAGTAGGTAGGCCTGGGCTCAGTAGGTAGGCCTGGGCCCAGGGCTCTGGCTGCCCCCATCTCCAGCAGGGCTCAGAGTGAGCCTGTGTGCAGCCTGCAGCCATCCCAGCCACGACCAGCAGGTGGCAGTGTACTTACACGGACTTCACCCCAGGCCTTCAGGATGGAGAGCCGCACACTTGTGTATTGTGTGCAATAAGTGGGGACCTCTGGTACTGGAAGGCCCTGGGATGCTTCACTAGGGATTGGCCCCACCTGCCTGACCTGAGTAGAGAGAGTGACCTCAGATAGGTCTGGAACAGTTGTCCTGCCCCCAGCAGTGCTAGCTGACACCACATGAAGTCACAGCCTGAGCCGCTTGGACCTCCAAGGGCCAGCTTGAGGTGGACAGCAATCAGATGGGTGCCACCATGCCCGTGACCTACTGCGAGGCTCTGCAGCCCAAACCCACTTGCCTCCTGCCTGTAGGTAGTACCAGGAGAGTAGGCTTGGGGCTTCAGTTCCCAGAGGCAAAGCGCAGCCACCCAGTACTTCCACTGGTCCCTTCTGCTTCTTCTCACCTGCTGCCTGCCCCTTGTGGACATTTGACCCACACTTCTCAGGTCCTGCTATGAGGCTGGTTCTTTGCTAGGTCAGGCCCTTGGCCATCAGCCCAACTCCCAGTCAGGGAGGAGGGAGTTCAGGGACACAGGTTGCTGTGTCTGGGAAGTTGGCCTGCCTGCCTTTTGGAGGTTTAAGCTTGTCAAGTCTGGAGCAGGATCACTCTGTGCAGCCTGGACTTGTCTTTCTTCTTGGAGTAACTTCCTATTTTCCCGACAAGATGCCAGGCTTTAAGGCCATGTCTTCCTCCACTGTCCCTCCTACTGACTGCCCCAGAGCCAGGGTTCTGCCATGCCAGATGGTATCCCATCACCACTGTCCCAGTGTAGGGGAACTCCCTGTGCTGGGCCTGTACTAGCTGACCCCAAAGTTGGAAACAATGGGGGTCAGGGCAGTGCTTCCCCACTCCCTCCCACTGGGCTGCGCTCACTTCCTTCCTGCTGGCTGCCTGAGGAAGTGTCCCTGCCCTGGGACAGTCTGGCCTGGCCTTTGTTTCCCCAGGGGTCCCCCACCCTTGGTGCTTCCAAGGCCTGTGTCCTTTTTGGAGCCAGCACTCTGGTCCAGGACACCACCCTCCCATGCCATGTCCTAGACTCCTTGGTCATCAGGGGTAGACTCCAGTGTATGTGCCCACTTCCCCCAGTCTCCCAGTCTTACACAGACTTCTGTTAGGAGAGAGGCCCTGGGCATCAAGGAGGTGGGCCAGTAGGGTAAAGGGGAATAGGCTCAGGGTGACTTGAGGGTGTACAGATTAGTCTGTACCTCTGGAGGGGCCTGCTGGGACCCTGCTGCAGCCCTCCCTGGAGCCAGCCACATTTTGGGTACCCCCTTCCCAAGGAAATACACTCCTTTCCTCACCAATGTTGTAAGGAGACCCCTACTCTAAAGCATGTTAGTGAAATCCACCCAGGAATGTCCTCTGGTAGGTGAGAACCCTGCAGAATCCACCCTGTCCCTGCCCCACCCCCACCCCCACCCCTCAGTCACCACATCAACACATTGTCCAATCTGTCACACACGGGATGCTTCCGCTCTCAGTGGAAAAAAATTGACTCAGCTCCTGTAAGTTCCCCCAACACCCCGACCCCCAGGGCTGGTTCCCTTCTTCACCACCTGCTTTGGGGAACAATCTGCCTAACATCCCTGTAGTTTGACTCCCCAAAGCACCACCACCAGGGCCCCTCCACTCACAAGCTGCTGGATTTGAGGAGGGGCCCTCAACCCCATGGGCAGGTTGGGGAGAACTTTCAGTGTTAAGGAAGCTGCCAGCATGGGGGAGGCTGGCACCTGAGCCAGGTTTCCTAGCCTTCCTGTCACCTGGCACATTTGGCAGAGCCAGGGCCTACTCAGGGGAAGGGTGGGAAGGGCAGCCAGCCAGCAGGACAAGCCGGAGGGAAACAGGGTCAAGGAGGTCCCCTTCCCCCGCGTTTGTTGCTGGCCCTTTCCTCTCTGAGGGGCAGCAGGAAGTGAGGAGAAAGGGCTGGGGTGGGAGGCGGGAGCGGGTGGGAGGGATAGGGTTTATCAAGTCGCCGGCGAGCTGCCCGGCGGGCAGCAGCTGGCGCGATTAGCTTGGCTGGAGAGGCTTACCCAGCAAGGAGGGAGGCCGCCCACCTACTGGGCCGGCAGACTCCCACACAGGTGGGCCCGGCGCAGTCTGCACCCCGGTGAGTACATGCGCTCACAGCTGCGCTCCCTCCCTCTCCTCAGGCGCCAGGGTGAGAAATGGGTTGGCAGACTCAGGACACTTGGGTAGCTGAGGATCTCAGGGGAACGGATCAAGAAGAGTCGAGGACTCCTCGCCGCATTCCAGCTCCAAGCCTGCTGCCCAACGAAAGGGGCTTTAAGGGCAAAAGGACTCAGGATATCGGGTGGAGGTCCGGCGGAACTCCCCTAGCCGGGCCGGCTTTCCTAGGTCTAGCCAGGAACTTAAACAAGGGTGGCAGCTTCCTCAGAGTTGAAAGGGAGCCTTGGGGGCTCCCACTGACCTCCCCCGCCAGACTGTACAGGAGGGGACGGGAGCCCAAGGACTGACTTATCTCACATGCAGATCGGAGGCAGGGGGACGCCCTACAACCAGGGCCCGCTGGGCTTACTGGCCCGCCACAGGGCGGGCCAAGCCGCGACCCACAGCTCGTGGAAGGGCTAACATGAGGGTGCTCGGCCCCCTCCCCGAGTCTGGAAGGGGGCGGGGCTTCCCTTCAGACCCGGGACAGAGGGAGGGAGCCCAGATACTGGGGGCAGGGCATTACTGTCCCGGAGGCAGGAGTTCGGCCTGGTCACCCTCCCGCTTTCCATAAAAAGGGGGCCCTGGCTGGAGGCTACACTCAGGGGTGCAGAGCCAGATTCGTACTGCCCTCAGCGAAGGCCTTGGAGTCCCACAGCACCTCCTTCTGGCCGGGCTGGGGAACGCCACCTCCTTTATTCCCTCCCCGACCCCGCGTCCTTTATGCTGTCCCTTTAAGTGGCTGGCCCCTCCGTGGAGTAGGGAGGACTATACCACCGGCCGCGGGCTGCGGGGGGTGGATTTTGGGCTGACAGGCGCTCATGAATGAGACTCCAGAAGAAAGCCCTATTCGGAGGGTGTCACGGTCCCACATGGGTGGCCGCATCCCTCGGCGGAGGACCTGAGGACCTTGGAGCCCAAAATGCGGCACCGGCGGCTCAAAAGTTGGGCACACCTTCCCGCCCTGGCCGCAAGTCCAGCGCCGGGTCCGCCTCTGCTCTGGGTTCTTAAAGAGCCCGCGGGCTAGGGGCGGAGCCAGCAGAGGCGCCGAGCCGGGGCCTTCCCTGGTCGAGTGGCCGGAGCGGG